GTTAAATTTGTGAATCTGCAGAAATTAATTATAAGCTGACTTCATTGTGTATATATATATTCTATGTAGTCACCCTTGATGTCACCTGAGTCCTGTGCTTTGCCAAGAATAGCATAAACTATGCCAAAGAGCTGTTTGCTGTTATTAGAGTTTTAGTAGAGAGGGATTACACAGAATTTTGTACCTAAAGTCTCCTGCTGCCGTAAGAAAAGGGAGGGGGGCAGCTGATAACTATTTTTGTTGGAATTTTGACATAAAGCTGCCATTCATAAAGCCTTCAAGCCCTGTCTGTTTTCAATCCAGGCCCTCATTTCTTTGTCTGAAATACCAACCAAGTCGCCAACTCTCACTGAATGTTTTCAGAGACACAAGCCAGGAAAGTTATCAAATCCGTGAGTGACAACATGTGACAGACTCCATGCTGGGTGGCAGACACTGAATATTCTGTGATGTTATTCTTCACATTTTTCCAGGTCTCCTCCATCTGGGTAGGCTGGATATCAATATACCCAATTCCTTGACTGGTTTCTCATTCTGTCTTTCAAAGCTGGGTATGCGGATTTTCCCAGTAAGAACTAAAACAGGTAGCCATGGAATTCCACACTCCTGGTTTCACTGTGTGTGTGTGTGTTAGTTGCTCAGTCATTTCTGACTCTTTGCAACCCCATGGACTGTAATCCGCCAGGCTCCTCTGTCCATGGGATTCTCCAGGCAAGAATACTGGAGTGGGTTGCCATTTTCTCCTCCAGAGGATCTTCCTGACCAAGGGATCGAATCCAGGTCTCCCGCATTGGAGCCAGATCCTTTACCGTCTGAGCCACCAGGGAAACCCTGGTTTCATTGTCTCTCAATCTCCAAGAAGTTTTTATTGCTCTGGTACCCAAGAAAGAAAGGAAAAAACCCAGTCGTTTTTTAAAGTCATAACACTGAACTCAATGCATAAGGTCCTCTAATTGACCTCGAGGAAGCTCAGGGACACCATAGATCAGCTGCTAAATGACTTGAGATGTTTCAGTTTAGAGAAGGTGTCTGGCTCCCTAACAGATTTGTCTGCCCATAAATTTCTTGATTAGGCTAAAGGCCTCTGCCAACAGACCCGGGTATTCAATTCAGCATGTCCTTCATTTGAGCGGATATTGTGACTGAAAGCATGTTCTATCTGGTGACACAATATTTAAATTTAAAATTGTGCTCACAGTTCATTTTCAAGAGATCCATTTCTTAATCTAGGTGGGAGATGGAAACTCAGGTTGGAGCTACGATGCTCTTGGAGGTTTCTTAACTGCAACTGTGGGCTGGAGAGAGACACTTCTGATTTCATACTACCTGCCAAGGATGACTTGTTTCAAGTATCTCAGTGCCTCTTATGGGAAAATACAGTTAAACACTTCTTTTTTTAAGCCACTCCTCTTGTGAGTGACTAGTTTCTCTGAATCTATTATTATTATCATTTTATTTGGCTGCACCGTGTCTCAGTTGTGGCCTGAGGGGTCTAAGTTCCCTGACTAGTGATTGAATCCAGGCCCCCTGCATTGGAAGTGTGGAGTCTTAGCCACTAGACTACCAGGGAAGTCCCTAAACATTTATTTTTGATGGTCCAGTTCAGGTTCCATAAGACACCACTGAAACACCCAAAGTAAATTCTTAGTATTAATCCCTGGCATTAAAGATAATACAAGAACTTCTCACTGTATCTCTGCTCAAAACCAGACAACTGGTTAAGAATCTGCGTGGAATTGGGGGCTTATTTACCAACTTTTCCACTCTTCAACTATTGGAAGTAGAGGTATATGGCCAACATAGTTGCTTTTGAATTGCTCTGTTTCCTTTTTTTTTTTAAACTCCTAATATTGTTTCTATCAAGAAAACCAAACTGATAATAGTGGAAATGTGAAAACCTTGCTTAGAAATACTTTAAAAAAAAAAAAAAAGCAAGCAAACAAAAAAGCCTCCATTTTTGGTTTTCTAGAAGTTTCTTTTCCCAAGAAAAGAACCTCTTTTCTGGGTAGGTAGTTTCCCCCAACCAACTATAACTAAGGAGTTCTCTCAACCAGGAAGATTCAGGACAAAAATAAGTAGGTATAACTACAGATCCCGTGCAAACTGAATTGTTTTGGGATAAAATTACTTCTGCCAGTGATTCTTTAACACTGGTAGTTAAAACCATTGATGCTGGATCAAATATTCCAAGCATCCTAAATTAACTGAACATTAAAGAAATAAGACCTGGTTATTTGACTTCTGGGCTTCACAGGTGGCTCAGTGATGAAGAATAAACCTGCAATGCAGGAGACAAGGATTCGATCCCTGGGTTGGGAAGATCTCCAGGAGAGGGGAATGGCAACCCACTCCAGTGTTCTTGCCTGGAGAATCCCATGGACAGAGGAACCTGGCAGGCTACAGTGCGTGGGGTCACAAATAGTCAGACACGACTGAAACTACTCTGCACACACGCACGCAGGATCTCAGTAGCTGTGGCTCCCAGGCTCTTGGGCTGGGGCTCGGAAGTTGTGGCTTGCTGGCTTGGTTGCCCTGTGGCCCGTGGGATTCTCAGGGACCAGGGGTTGGACCGGTGCCCCCTGCCCTGCAGAGTGAATACTTAGCCCCTGGGTCACCAGGGGAGCCTCTGAGGTGATCACTTGCAGGCAAGTTACCCTGTTGCATCTGGGTCAGGCTTGGACAGGGATCCCTGCCAAGGACGAGAGCCCTAGGGCCCGAAACTGGGCTTCCTGGGCGCCTCCCCAGAGGCGCTGTGCTGCCGCCAGGCCCCGCCAGGGAGACGGGGCGGCTCTGCTGCCCTCCCTCCGGGGAGACCACCGTGCTGCCCCACGTGGGGCCGCCTCCCTGCTTCAGCCAGAGCCACGCCGTGGCCGAGCGCGTCTCCTGGTCGCAGGCCTGCTCGCTTCCTCTGGGCGGTCGCCTCTGCTCTGACGCCGCAGCTCGCCGTGGTCCTCGGCTCTCGCCACGGGCACCAGGGCCGCCGCCTCTCAAGGCGCCGGGTCTAGACCACCACGGGCGGTGAGTGCCTGCGGGGAATGGCAGCTTTGGCGTCTCTCACGCCTCGTTTCAGGGCTTTGAAGATCTCCCCTTAGCGCAGCCACACGCTTGGGAAGCTGCTCGCACGGGGGCTTCTGCGGACCCTTGGCCGCCACGTTGCTGCCATAACTCCTCGCCGCGCGCTTCCTGTCTGATCCTGCTGTGGTCTCTCCCCCACCCTCTCTTCTGTGGTTGCTGTTTTCTCGGTCCTTCCGGTACTTCTGTAGCCAAATTTCTGTATTAAATTCCCTCTGACATACTTACTATGACTTGTGTTTTCCCGATGGGCCCTCTGATACCCAATCCCTGAGCCTGTCAACAGTGTCTGCCTCCCCACACACGGGCACACCCACAGACAGACACACAGACACGCGCCGTTCTGTGTCCGGCCCTGGGCCGTGTGGTAGCGAAGGATGATGTGCTTCTGTCCACTTCAAGACCTCCAGAATGTTCTTTTCAGCCAGGTTTGACCCGTATAAAAGGTCTGGCCACGTGTGAAGGGAGCTGAACTGGACGACTGCCCCAGATAGAGGTAGGACAGCTGGTGAACATCATTTTCTTAACATGGCCCCTGCCCCACCTGGAAACACGCCTCCCTGGGGCTTTAGCATCTGTGGCCTCGACTTACAACCACAAAGAGCTGCTCATTATAAAAAGCTGAATGGAAAGTGTGCTTATTTGCCCAGGCATTTGCCCATGTTTCATAAAAATGGCCGTAACTTATGTTCTTTTGATGTGCCTTTCGTTTAAAGAGAGAGAAGATCGCTGGCAATACCCCAGACTCGGACGGAGGGAGACAGCACAGGTCGGGTTGGGTCTGAACCTGCGTGGGGGTCACGGGGAGAGGGGAGCCTGTGACACCTGATTCCCTGCTGGGTCATCGGGGCTGCCGCCTGCCATCTTACTGCCACTCGGGGACAAGTGAAGATAAGTTTTTAAAGGAAGTAGGTGCGTGCGCGCTAAGTCACTTCAGTCCAACGTTTTGCAGCCCTACGGACAGTAGCCCGCCAGGCTCCTCTGTCCATGGGATTCTCCAGGCCAGAATACAGGAGTGGGTTGCCATGCCCGTCTCCAGGGATTGAACGAACCTGCGCCTCTTACACCTCCTGCATTGGCAGGCGGGTTCTTTGCCACCAGCGCCACCTGGGAAGCCCAAAGGAAGTAGGTACCTTTCCCCAGCGTCCCGGCGTGAGTGGGTAACTGAGGGCTTTGAGCGTCACACGCGCGGGCGAGGAGCCCAGCAGAAGGGAGAGCGCGGTGTCCTGGCCGGGGCGCCCCCGCCTCAGGCCGCCAGCGGCTCAGGGTGGAGCCTGGAGCGGCCGAGGCCGAGGCCAAGGGTGCTGCTGCAGACGTGGCGGGAGCCCCCCAGCGCCAACCAGGGCTCCGGGCTGGGATGTGGGGAACCTGACTCAGCACGACCTGCTCCCAGCTGAGCCATCCATCCTGGGGCCACCGCTGAGCCGGGCTTCTCAGTCAACCCCAGGGCCACCCGAGGAGGAGCTGAAGAGCAACAAGGCAAAATCCTCAGTCCCAGAGTTCTCGCTCCGCTGCTGCTGCTCCGCAGAGAAGAGTCAGAATTCCGCCTCCTGCAGAAGCCCACAGCCTCACCTCTCTCCATCTGCAAACCGCTTCCCTCCTCCGAAGGGCCTCCCCCACAAGGCTCCCTGGACCAGCCACGGAGGGGCCTCACTGGCCGTCAACTCAGTCTGCGTGCGCTTCCCATAGGCATCCTGGAGGCGGGGAGGGACCTCAGGAGCGTCCTCCGCATCGTTTTTTACCAAATACTACATGTGCACGCCGGGCACTGACTGTGCTGAGCACAGAGTGTGAGATGTGAGCCTAACGCTCAAGCAGTTTCCGGGCTTCCCAGCCGGTGCCAGTGGTAAAGAACCCACCCGCCAGTGCAGGACAAGCAAGAGACGCGGGTTCGATCCCTGGGTCAGGAAGATCCCCTGGAGGAGGGCATGGCAGCCTCTCCTGGATGCTTGCCTGGAGCATCCCATGGACAGAGGAGCCATTCAGTCCACAGGGTTGTAACAAGTCAGATACAACTTAGCTCTATGCAAGCAGTTGCCAATCTAGTGAGAAAAGGAAAAAAAAAAAAAGCCAAGCCAAGTTTCTTCAAGCTCTCGATTCCATGCCCCGGGGAGCTTATTCTACAGAATCCAGGCGGGCGTGGAGAGACCCCTGAACGCTGGAGGACATGCTTCATGGCGGAGATGCAACCTGAGGTTGGCCTGGAACAACCAGCAAAGGTGAACGGGAGGGAGGCGAAGAAGAAGAGGCCCAGGGTGCAGGGGAGGGAAGAGGCTGCCTGCCGCGGCCTGGAGCGGCCTCTGCCCCACGCTCCCCAGGACCCCAGACCTGCCCGCTTCCCGATGGGTGGGACTTGCCTCCCTGTGATGGGCCCAGGGTCCCCGCCCCCCTTCCTGTTCCTGGGGGCAGGGGCTGTCCCCTGCTCTGTCCCCAGGCCTGAGCTCAGTACCTGGGGCACAAGATGAGGGAGTTGGATGGTGACTGAAAGGGAAGGGAAGGAGGAAGGCCTGGATGCACAGTGGGCTCGCGGGGGGTCTGACCCCCTCACCCTCAGCGGGCTCTTGGTGATGTTACCAGGACCCCAGGGAAGCAGAGAAGCATCAGCAGGGTGTGGGGGCGCAGGTGCTCCTTCCACGGCGCCGGGGGTCTCCCCCTTTCTCAAGCCGCTGCTTCTTTCAGCTCGTCCTGCTTGTCCCTGCAGACGTTGCTCCAGAAGCAGTGACAGCGGTGACTTTCTTCCCAGTGGCCGGGTTTGGGGGCCACCCTGCGGGGGTAGGGGGGGCTGGTTCCTCTCCTGTGACTCGCCCCCCCACCCTGCTTCCGGAGGCCGAGGCCCTGCTGGAGATGCCTCTTCTCCTCCGGGCTCTTCAAACCCTGTTTCTCGCGTTCTGGGTCCCAGGAATCCCCGTGCTCTGACCTGCAGGGACCTGCCTCTCCAGCAGGCTGGGCTCTGTCTGCAGAGGGGACAGAGTGGTTCATCCGGCAGGGTCTGCTCGGGGAGCTGGGGGTTGGGGTCAGCTCTCAGAGGACCTTGAGCATCACCTTGAGAATTTACCCCGAGGTTAAGGAGAGCCATTAACGAGTTTTCAGCAGGGGAGACAAGCAGTTAGATCTGTGTTTCAGAAAGATAACCTCCAGCTTTTTTAGCTGTGAAGGGCTGGTATTTTTAGCTGTAAAGGTTTGCCTGGGCTAATGAATCACTTGTCACAGGTCTTGTCTCATGGGTCCTCATCCATCAATACCCATCTCTAATCCATTATCCAGACACCCAGGCCACCTGGATTTACGGGGATGTGAGAGAGCCCAGTGCAGAATGTGGGGGTGGGGGATTCCAAACTGGGAGCCTTTGAGGTCCCTCTGACCTGAGGCGTTCCATCACCCCTGGCCCAGGGTAAAATATGATTTCTGCATAAGCCACTGGGATTTTTTAAAATGTCTCTTTTGCAGCCCACCAGAACTAGGTTGCTGTATACTTGTTCCAACAGGAGAGGATGTGTGTAAATCATCTAATTAAGTTGTTACTGGGTAAATCAGGAGCATCTGTCTGCGTGAGTGAGCCTGAGGCCTGGTGTTGGTGATCTGTGGCACCAACAGTGGTGTCTTCCCGTGGGCGGCTTCGCAGAGCCAGAAACGGCCGCCGGCTGCTCCCCGTGACTGCCAGACACGGGCTCCAGGGAGCGGCTGCTCGGACGGACCCCGGCCCGGCCGTGCACACGCCCTGCAGCCCTGGGCAAAGCGCTGTACCTCTCCGTGCCCTCCATCATCTCCTTTGTTAAATGAAGTGATAACAGAATCTACCTCATGGGGGTGTTGTAAGGATTTAACCAATATGTGCAGAGGGTTTAGAATAGTGTCTGGTACACAGGAAGCAGATTCTCACAGAATGTTATCTCTTCTGATCATTCCACCGCACCCCCATCCCCTGCTGCAATCGCCCATCTGTGGAGACGGAAGCAGAATCGGACCTATGTGTGTCTGTTACTTGCCCGTTGACTCAGCGTGGATTCCTGGCCTGTCCACGTCCAAGCCAAGAGCCCCGGCTGTGTCCCAGCCTCTGTAACGTTCCCACTGGTGCTTTTTCCCAGCTTGACTCCAGGATGCCTGCCTGTCTCCTTGGATTGTGTCAGGCCCATCTAATTAGTAACTAACATATTTGCAGAGATTTAAGACTGGGTGCCTGGGATAACTCTAACTAACTGTCTGATATGAATTAAACCAAGGATATTTGTATTTCAAGTTTCCAGAATATTCTAAGCACTCCATCATGTTTGGTGAATGAATAAGTGGCATGAAGGGCAACAAAAGACGGCACCATCTGGGCTCGTGTAGGTTCGTTATTCCATTGCACACATCACACAGAGTCAGGCCATGCTGTGAGCAGTTAGAAAATGATCTCATTTAATTTACTAAGTGTAAACCTTAAATCATACTGTAAAGCTGAACACAGTCATGAAATCACATCAATTAATTCTGGTCAACTGACCAGATACTTTGCTACTTGATAAACTTAAAATGCAATGTTTATTGATATAGATTAACCGTGACTTAAGGAAACTAAATTTACAGACTTACACAATTGACAAATTAGAGGCTATTTGACTTACCAAAGCAGTCTTCAGCTTTACAAAAAAAAGATCCACTGGAAGAATCTATAAATTTCAGACTCTTTGTGAGTGTTAAAAATATAATTCAATTTCTGAAATTCACTTTTTTTTCAGGGATACATCCACTGTACAAATAAATCCAGCTCTAAAATACTGCTGTTGAACTTAGTGGAAATGTCCCAAGAGCAAATGCAGGTGCTAATGAGTATATAGAACTTGTAAAAGAATAAAATGTAGAAATGTATTAAAGGTGAAAGATGGGAAGAAGGACCAAAGGTGACCAAGAAAGAAATTATTGGAAGAGGAAGCAAGTCAGAAAGGCCAATGGCCAGACAGAATCCAGGCCTGTAGGGTATTCTAGGGACAGCAGGAGTCTGTGCATCCATCCCTAGCTTAGGAGAACAAAGAAACACCTGAGCCCCTGGAGCAGGCAGCAGAGAGGATCCGCGTCCCTCAAGTGTCCCAGCCAACGTGCACCGTGGATACTCTCCTCTCTTAGGCCCAGTGATTTCTTTCTGTGTGATCTTGGTTCTCTGACTAGAGATTGAACTTGTGGCCCCTGCATTGGAAGCGCAGAGTCTTAACCACTGGACCACCAGGGAAGTCTCTTAACTCTCTCTCTGACAGATCTGATACCCCAGCAGAGCAGAGACATGATGGAGGCAGACCTTATCCAGACGCTAGCAGGGCGACTGATCAAGGCACTCATTTAAATCCCAGGGGAATCAATCTGAAACGGCGTCCTCATGCTGATAGGATTCGGTCAGCATCTCCCAAGTGTTTTATGGGTTCCACCAGATAACACTCTCCACACATAAAAAGATATTCCACATTCTTAACAATTCACTTGGCACAATAATAAAGACTCTGAGAAATTTTCTTTTTTTTTTTTTACAAGTAAGCCTATTAATATTTAGAGAAACAGTTCTTTCATCAGACATACTCTGCAAAACCCACCGTTGGTTGAATAACTGTACTCAGGGACCACTGCTCAGCGCCAACCACTGGAAGCATTTCTAATCCAGATCAACAGGCTCTGAGCTTGATCCTGGCCAGCTCAACTTTTGTTTTTTTAATCAGTGACTGTGTAAGGGGTAAAATCCATGCTTATCAGTGATTGGTGGAAAAACAGTTAAAGGAGCAGAAAGTGACAGTGAAGTCGCTCAGTCGTGCCTGACTCTTTGCGACCCCATGGACAGTAGCCTGCACCAAGCTCCTCCGTCCATGGGGTTTTCTAGGCAAGAGTACTGGAGTGGGTTGCCATTTCCTTCTCCAGGGGATCTTCCTGACCCAGGGATCGAACCTCAGTCTCCCGCATTGTAGACAAATGCTTTACCGTCTGAGCCAATGAAACAGAAGGCAGCGTCAAAAATGAAAATCACCTGAGCAATGACTGCTCTGTGTCCCTGCTGAGTGGCATTTGCGTTAACTGCACGAGTGTTCCAGGGGAGAGCTGACTCAGCAGCCGGCCATGCCTGGACCACAAGCACAACCCGAGTCAACACCACAAAAGTAATACGACCCGAAGCCACGTGAACAGATGTTATCTGTCCAGACCTTGTCTGGAGTGCACATTCCAGCCTAGATACCACATTCAGAGAGGGCCACTTGAGACTGAATTACATGCAGAAGGGTTTGGACAGTGTGAAAAATTCCATTATATGCAAACTATTTGAATCTATTAAATATGCTTAGTGAGAATAAGAGAAAAGCAAGAGGCTGGGGTATTGATTTGTCTTCTACATATAAATAATTATCTTATGTACATTGTATAAAACTTGGTCAAGCGCTCAAAGTCTAGATAGTGAACCAAAGGGTAGAAGTAAAATTTCACTCAATATAAGACCACTTTATATTTTGTGTGGTCCAATAATGGAATGCGCTTCCCCAGCGGCTCAGCAGTAAAGCATCTGCCCGAAATACAGGAGACACAGGAGCCTTGGATTCGATCCCTGGGTCGGGAAGATCCCCTGGAGGCGGGCACGGCAACCCACTCTAGTATTCTTGCCTGGAGAATCCCATGGTCTAGAGTCCGTGGGGCTGCAAAGAGTCAGACACAGCTGCGCATGCACACATACATAACAGTGGAATAGGCTGTCCTTACAAGGAGTGTCCCATCATGGAAGTGTTTAAACAGAAGCTGAACGCCCAAGTGTCAGGGCTAAAGAAGAAGGGGTGACTTTCTGCTTAGATTCTAAGCTTTTTTCTGGTTATTTAATTGCATAAGACAAATGCTAAGTCACTTTTGTTGTGTCTGACTGTGCGACCCTATGGATAGACCCATGCAGCCTGCCAGGCTCCTCTGTCCATGGGATCCTCCAGGCAATAATACTGGAGTGGACTGCCATGCCCTCCTCCAGGGGATCTTCCCAACCCAGGGATCAAATCCATATCTCTTACGTCTAACCTGCATTAGCAGGCGGGTTCTTCACCACTGGTGCCAACTGGGAAGCCCATTTAAACAATACTGCCTCATTGTGGGGGGGATGGCAGTTGAGATCACTCAGCTTGTCCTTGCTCTGATTCGCAGGATCGTGTCCCAAGCCGAATCCTCTCTGGTGTTTCCGCTTTTAATTCTCAGTTCAATCTGAAAATGAGAATCAGTAGCCACTGAGATGCCCAGCAGTTCCTGCTGCGTCCAGGCCATTCTTTACCACACGTCTTCCCAGCAAACTCCCTCTGTTCCATCTGGCAGACTTGGTTTCTATTCCTAAAAAATTAAAGAGCTTTGACTCCAATCCGTCAGGTTTCAAGTCTACTGCCTTTTACAATGTTATCTCAACAAAGGACTGTTCAAGCTTATTGGAGCAAGAATTCTGGTTGTAGTTTCATAATATACTTATTTCCTATCCTTACACCTTGGGCTTTGAACTCCCAAGTATTACAGCGACAGGACAGGGGAATGTGTGTTTTACCTTCTAGAATTCACCCCCAGGTGTGTTACGGTCTCTGAAGAACCCAAGAAGGCCGCTGTGAACAGATTTATTTACATTTTCATCATTAAAAAAAAAAATACATGTCCTGCAAGGCACATTTTTATTTAGAAGGCAGCCCTTCATTATGCAAATCCCAATTTCTCTGTGAAATGTCTCACTAACGGTGGAAGTCTTATACCTATTGTTTCTGGCCTGGAACCAAGAAAATGGCACAGCCACTAAAAGCTCACTTGTTACACAGCTGGTCTGACAGTTAATAAATGGGCTTTATTGGGCTGGAGGGCAGCAGGCCTCCCTGAGCCGAATTTAGGACCCAGTTGGGTCTCAAAGGTCGGGAGGCTTCGAACGAAGCTCTAACGTCATGCTGTTAACTCCCGGACTCCTGGCAGACCAGAGTTTTCTGTTTTGAAAGTAATGGCCTCATGTTTCTCGTGAACAAGTCCTGTTAGAGATCAAAGCAATCTTTCATAACCTCATTTTGATGAGTTAAGGGAAAATGAACCAGAAACATGAGGATTAAATGTCCCTTAAAATTCCCCTTGGGATGTAAATACCGAGAAGAATGTGCTGGGCCGAACTACGTATGGGTTTTTATCAGACCCCAACCATGTGGGGTAAACAGCGCGAGGCTTCTGACAAATTGAGACATGTCTGGGTTTGTCTCTGCCTAATTGGTCTGCATTATGGTCCTTGAGGGGGTCTCAGAATGGGGAGGGCACCTGTGATCTCCTGGGGGCCTGCTCCCGCCTACAGGGCTTATTCTCGTCAAACGGACCAAGTGCAACCAGCCAACATTAAGGTCGTTATTTTTGCTTTAAATCACTCATTACATGAAGCAATTCCACCCAGTTTAAGATGTCAATTAGGGCTCCAAGCTTATAAGGAAAAATGATTTTGTTTATGTGTTTATTTCTCACTAAAAACACAGTACTCTCAAAGGAATTTCTATAACATATAACCAAAGAGGAATGCTAATTCGATCTGTCTCTTGTTTTGTTTTCAAATATCTTTGTATCTATCTAAACATTTATCCTAAAATTATTAACAACTCCTTGCCTACAATTAATCAAAAAATATCCTTAAAAGAGGGGTGGCAGAGAGATGAACATCTATGAGAGGAAATTAGGAATAATCTGTCGCTTAAGCATGCAATGAATGTAAAACCATAGAGGTGTTTTTCTTTTTTTTTTAAGACTTTTTGATGTGGACCATTTTTTAAAGTCTTTACTGAGTTCAACAATATTGAAACAACATTGTTTCTGTGTTACATTTTGGTTTTTTGGCCAAGAGGCATGTGGGATCTTAGCTGCCTGAGCAGGGATCAGACTTGCACGTCTACACTGGAAGGCGGAGTCCCAACCACCGCACTGCCAGGGGAGTCCCCACAGAGGGTTTTATTCATTTTGATTTAGGTGAAATTCATACGACATAAAAATAACCATTTTAAACTGAACAACTCAGCATTAGTACAGTCACCATGTTGTATAACCATCACCTTTACTTGCAGAATATTTTCATTGCCTTAAAAATGAGTGAGTGAAAGTCATTCAGTCGTGTTTGACACTTAGCGAACCCATGGACTCTACAGTCTGTGGAATTCTCCAGGCCAGAACACTGGAGCAGGTAGCCTTTCCCTTCTCCAGGGGATCTTCCCAACCCAGGAATCGAACCCAGGTCTCCCACGTTGCAGGTGTATTCTTCACCGGCTGAGTCATAGGGAAACCCCTTAGAAGATGAAGCCCTGTCCTATGAAGCAGTTGCTCTGCCATCACCTCTTCCCAGCCCCTGGCAACCACCAGTCAGCTTTCTGTGTCTGCAGACCGACCTGTTCATCAATGGAATCATACAGTAAGTGACTATTGGTGTCTGGCTTCTTTCACTTACGATATTCTGAGGTTCATTCACCTTGTAACATGTATCGATATTTCATTCCTTTTTATGGGTGAATAATGTTCCATGATACATACATACCGCATTTGATTAGTCATTCACCCATGGAGGACATTTGGGCTGTTTCCACCTTTTGCCTGTTGTGAACAGTGTTGCTGTGAACATGTATATAGATGTGTGTGCACATGTATTTATTTGAACACTTGCTTTCAATTCTCTTGGGCATATTCTAGGAGTGGAATTGTTAGAAGATCATTTGATGCTACAAAGAACTGTAGCTATACTCTGCAAGTCTATTTTATTTCCAACACCATAACGCACACAGGTAACAATCCCCATAGCTCTCTTCATCACTCTCCACCACCAGTAGACCCATCACTGGTTCCCCTGCACTGGAACCAAATTGAGACCTGCTGTTTCTCTTCCTGATGCCACAAAGAGCACAAGAAAAAGGGGGCGGTTACAGTGGCTGCTAGAGGATTGGCACCTTCGAGGGAAGCAAGAGAGCTCCTACCCTGGGAAGGAGCAGTGTTCACGGGAGCCGGGCCTGACCTCTCGGGGTGTCCGTCTGTACTTCCCATCCTATGGGCAAGGTCACCAAAGGACTACATCAACTCCACATGGCAAAATCACCAAGGTTTACCCTTCTCAAGACTGAAAGTTTGGATCATATTCTCAAGCAAAGAATCAACCAATGAAGGTGCTGGTTAAAGGCAAGTGGTAGGATGGATAGATATTCAACCAACCTTACTCTTATGAACAGTTGCAGAAAAGCAGACTGAATTTTTACCTCCCTTTTTTTGTGTCTAGATAGAAGTTACACCCCTTGGTATATGACCTCCAAAATGAAAACATACATCTACAAAAACATGTACACTTATGTTCACAGCAGCATTATTCGTAACAGCCAAAAATGAAAACAACCCAAATAGCCACCAACTGATAACTGAATAAATAGATTGTGGATACAATAGAATATTATTCAGCCATCAAAATAAATGAAGTACTTTGGGCATGGAAAAATGTGAGGTATCCTAGATGCAATAGAAATGACAAAGTCATAAGGAAATCTGCTGCACAATTTTATGTCAACAAATTTATAAATATAGATAAAATTGCTAAGTTTCTAGAAAAAATATAACTTTCCAACACTGAAAAACAAATAGAAAACTGAATAAAGCAATTTTAACATTAAAAAAAGTTGATCTGACAAATATTTGCACCTTCCAAACACCTTCCCCCTACAATGCTGGTCTTAGGTGATTTTAGTAGTGAATTTTACAAAATCTTCAAGGAAAGGATCATCTTTATAAGTTCTTACAGGTGTCACTAGTGGTAAACAGCCCACCTGCCAAGGCAGGAGACATAAGAGCTCCTGATCCAGGGATCAGGAAAATCAGGAAGATCCCCTGAAGGAGGGCAAGGCAACCCACTCCAGTGTTCTTGCCTGGAAAATCCCATGGACAGGGGAGCCTGGCGGGCTACGGTCGATAGGGTCGCACAGAGTTGGACATGACTGAAGTGACTCAGCATGCACCCAGAGACAAGAGGAAAAACCAGCAGGTCGCTTGGTTTGGAAAGCTAGTACAGGTTTGACAGCAAAATTGAACAAGGACAGTACAAGAGGAAGAAACCCAACAACTATAGGGTAATCTCATTAATAGATGTAGATTAGAAGTTGTAAATAAAAACAATTGAAATACAACCCCCTCAAAGCAGAAATATTTTCATAACAGAATATACCATAATCAAAGTTAGAGTTAAAAAAAGAAAAAAACAGGCTTAGAGAAGATATTTGCAGGATCTATAACAAAGGACTTGGTAAATATATATTTATTTTACCAGATAACATATTTAATGGAGGAAGAACCTAAGCAAATAAATTAAAAAATGAAAGCACTCCAACAGGAAAGTGGGGGAAAAAATGAGAACAGGTAATTTTCAAACGTGGAAATCCAAATACCATTATTACATATATTTTTTCTTATTTAGAAGATTACTTAAATTACTTAATTACTTAGATTATTTAAACTACTTAAAATTATGGTATTCATATTCTATCATCTTTCTCACTTAAAGAGAGCATTTCTGAGAACTCAAATGCATCTTGCATGCAAAAGTTTATAGAATGTTAGCATTATAATTCTATTTATAAAACGTTTGAAAAAATAGAGCGACAATATATCACTTGAACATATTAAAATGCGGGGAAAACACCAAGAGAAACTGGAAGCTCGCTCAGTAAAACTATGAAAGGGGTGTCCTTCGGGATAAGGCCGAGGGTGTCAGAGAGCTTGAGAAATTTAGTTGCGTTGTGTTTCTGAGAGGAAAAAAGACAAAGTGTTGGTAGCTGCTAATGCTTCGGTATGGATTCTTTTACTCTGTTTCCCCACTCACATAGAAATGATAGTTTTTTAATGTTCCCCTCTTTTTATTCTCTAATGTGAGAAAGACAAACTCACTGTTTGATCCATACGTTATAAGATGTTGCAATAGCATCATGAGAAAAATAACGGAATGTTCTCGGTATAAGAATTACAGAGGGGAAACCCCATGCTGGATTCCTCCCAAGATATGCTTTTAAAAAATAAGTAAACTTCTATAGTTTTATTTTCAGTTCGGTTTTAAATTATACATGCACTTCATCCTCACGAGGTAGAGAGAGAAGAGCATAACGGTTCACTTATAATGATTTTAGGTCTTAAAAAACTAAAGGTTGTTTTCCCTCGTGGCATTGTCATGCTTTTTGCAATGGTTCTACACTTCTGTGTAGCTACAAATCTAAGTC